AACGACTAAAGTTGTAATAGATTCAATAGCAATGAAGAAATCAACTTTCACCGTAAACAAACTGGCGACCACAGTGGGAGCTAACAGCTTCGCTGCCGGAGCTGTCGTGCCGCAGCCGATGATCAAGATCCAAGTGCTCGAAGAGGTCGAATACGAGTTCGACCAGCAGAAGTTCGAGGAGTATGTCTCCTCCTCCTCCTCCAGATCTGCCTCTCCTTGCAGGTGCAGGAAGGCCTCCTCCTCCCAGAAAATCCGTCGGTCTCCAGATCTGAAGAACCAAGAAATTAATCTCCCCATAGCCGATGCTACAGTCGTACCTTGCAACGGTCCGCCGACATCCAATGAAACCAGATCTGTAGATCTGAACTCCTTCACGATTAAGGAGTCGACTGCTGAAGGCGCGCCAACTCTATCAAAGAGAGCACGTCAAAGGAAACGACAATGCCTCGCGCGCCAATTCGCCAAGGCTTTGGATCAGATGGATGGACTCCATTACCAAGCAGATCTGGAGCTCAAAAAGCACCAAGTGGCTAATCTGTCGCCACGACCAGCATCAGAATCCTCCTCTCGATCTCTAATTAACGAATGGGTTCGTGTCCAAAGAACCCGCTCTACTCTCAAGGAGCGAATCCAGAAGCGCCGCGCCTTGCTTGCGCATGCCCGGACCCTTGTGCGAAAAGTACAGGAAATGCAAAAGGAAGAGGCAGTTAAGAGATCGCCGAGATCCAAACAAGTTTGGGTGCCAAAAGCTAAATCAGCGCCTAAGGCAAAAGCAGGCGACGTTGCTCTCCGGCCTTCGTCAACTCCAGACCCTGATCCCGCACCTCCGGTGAAGCCCTATGACAGCGTGGGTCTCTCCAAATCTAGAATACCATTGAAGGATCGTGTCGGTGCCCTACCCGAGAATCGATGCAAAGCACCTATTAAGGAAAGCTTGAGACCGTTAAAGGAGCTTCGAGCAAACATCCGGACTAGGGGTCGTATGCGATCTCCTAAAAAATTAATTTCTACAACAGCCCGCTTGGGGGTGCGTGCAGAAAACCAAGAGCTCGTTAAGGTTTCACCCTCACAAAGGTGTGATTCCAAACGTGTGACTCCTGCAGATGCCAACAAGGCAATGTTTACTCAGAGGAAAACACGTCAGACAGACGAACACGTTATACCTGAGAATCCATGTAAGCAGCCGATAGGTTACTCCGACCGCAACGTCGATGAGTTGTACTATCAGGCTGGGGGTACGAATAAATCTCGAAAGAAAAGTACCCGGGAAGCGGGCTCTCACTATCCGTGTATCAAAATTATCAGGGCAGTATTATCAACATGTAGCTGCCCCAAGACCGCTCTGCGGAGGGTCTCGGTATTCGAGAGAATCTCCGATGGAACGACGAAGCCCAAATCAAGGCGTTTCCACCAAAGAGGATCGGTTGCTCGAGATGATGAATTCCCAGAAGTTACCATCAACATGGTCAATAAGGGAAAATCTCCGATTGTTTCAAGTGGTTCCAACCCTAATTTCTCTCCAGGAAGAAGAGTCAGTTCGGGAATAACCCAACAAACATCTCAGCTTCAGCTAGAAACCGTTGGACATAATGATTACCAGGATGTCCATGAAGGAATTCATTCCGATGACGAACTCTCGGATTCTTATTCCGCAATCGCCTCTGATGATACAACGTCTAGCATAGGACAAGCTCGGGAAGTGTTCATGGTCAACACCGAGCAAGTAACCAAAATGGTTGAGGAAGCCATAGCCAAGCAGAAAGAGGCATTCAAGATTGAGATGGAAATGGCTATGCAGGAGATGAGACAAATACACGACCAACAAATTCGAGCTTTGTCGAATCAGCTAGGTGAGTCCAGCCGTCGCAGCACTGCTAACCAAGCGGGTAGCGATTCAGATATGGATGAACACAACGCTGGGGGTGGTCCCACTAAGGACAATAATACTGGGGTGGTCCCACCAAAGATGACAATGCTGGGGGTGGCCCCATTATTCCTCTCAAGAACTGTCCAAAACAGGATATAGATGAGTACGAAAAGATGAAGGATCTCGAGAGCAAAATTAATGCTTTAATGTCTGCTCAAGAGGTAAAGAAGACCGGCATTCCATGTCCTTACCCGAAAGAGTGGGATTCGATCCCGTATCCGGCGAAGTTCAACCTGATCAACTTCACGCCGTTCGACGGGAAGAGCTCGTCCTTTCAGCACCTGATCTACTTCAAGTCCCATTTGGGTATGATCTCTGGCAACGAGCCTCTGATAGTCCGTTCATTTGTTGGCACCCTTCGCGGGCCCGCCTTCGATTGGTACCGCCGTCTCAAGCCCGGAAGCATCAATAGCTGGGAGGACCTGGAAAGCATGTTCCTCACTCATTTCTTCGATGATGATGCCGAAGTATCGATCAGGACACTCTTCGATGAGAAACAAAAAGACGGAGAGTCGGTGGATACCTTCATCAAACGCTTTCGCAATCAGGCAATGAACTGTAAGGATCCCGTCACGGAGGAATTCGTCTTGCAAACCTGTCATAACAACTTGTTCATTAACATCTTGGACGTTATGGGAGTAGAACCACTCAATACCTGGAGAGAGTTGAAGGCGCGCGGAGAGCAAGCCGAACGATTCCTTAGAAGGAGGAAGGTTGAAAGATGCCAACCAATGACTAACCCTCTGAATCCGGGTCTCGTTTCCCATAATGAAGGGAAGACACCTGCAACAGTTATTGACGTTAAACAGACGTCACAATAGCAGTCCCGAAGATAGCAGAATAGTTCGGATCCGAGGCTCCAAAAAGAGTACTCATTCAAAGATGAAGACGTGTTAGACCCTAGAGGGGGGGTGATTAGGGTCTTATGCTAATCTAATCCTAATTAATAGCAATTAAAATTATGTTGATCAAAATGTTCTTACAAGAGATAGATATGAACAATAAGAACAATAAGAATAATAAGAATATGCACAAATAAAATGTGAGACAAGCAAAACACAAACACACGATATGTTTACGAGGTTCGGTCCCCACGACCTACGTCCCCGCTCCTCACCTCGAGGAGATATCCACTATCACAATCCGGTTTGGAAGCCGGAACTTCTACACACTCGGTTTACAAGTTCACCGAAAACTCTCACACTACACAATCACTCAACAAACACACTTTACACACTAAGTGTAGGAACCTAGCCCGTGTCCTCCTCCTCAAGTGCTCGATTACAACCTCTCCCTAGGTTCGTCAATCGACGCCACTCCTATTGGATTTGACCCCGTCTCTCTCTCCTCACACTTCTCTCGGTGTACAAGTGTGTTACAAGTGAATCTCACAAATAAAGGTTCAATACAATGATTTGTTCTCAATTAACAAGTGAGAACACAATAAAGCTCACACTCACTAAATCCCACACTACAACCCACAATATATAATATGAGAATATCAAGCTCAATAAGTGTGTGTGATAATAGTGAATGAAACTCAATAAATATAACTCAATGAATATAGCTTAATCAAATGAAAGTGAAATAATAAGCTATATAGGAAAGAGTTTAGAAAACTTCTAAATTCCGGTCGACCGGAAAAACACTAGAAAGTTTCTCAGAAACCAGACAGCCGTCGGTCGACCGTATCGGTCGACCGAAATCTGATATGTGAAAAATGACAGGTTTTGGGTCAGTTTTGAGAAATCGTTACAAATATCAATTCATATCCAAAAATAGTGAAACTTTGGGGAAAGTTTATAAATGATGAAATGAACATGTTTGAAAAGGAATTTTTGGAAAAACAAATTTCGTTTGTGAAAACTACCTGTTTTTGAAAAATGCTTAGAAAACCTGTATTTTTATGAAAGTGAAATTTGAAATAGGACTTGTAAATATTCATATATGTATTGTGCATAAATTATATGTATATAGCAAAGCGTGAGAGAGCTGTAAACAAGAGATAAAGATATTTTAACAATGTTTTAAGAAAAATCATCTATATGATATAAAACGTCAAAAATCGTGTTAAGTGTATATATATTGAGCTTAGATATCATCATACCATATATGTAAGTAAACTAAACAAATACCTAGGTAAATCCACGCAGATGAACTTGAATCTTTAACGCTGTGTTGAAATACCTGAAAAGAGAACATAAACACAAAACACTGGAAAAACGTATTAGTAATAAATTGTTTGTCAAATCATCATCAAAACTATAGGGTCAACAATCTCCCCCTTTTTGATGATGGCAAACAATTTATACATGAATGTAAAGTATACACTGATAATCCACATATAACCCAACACAAGAATAAATCATACATGACCATATATATAAAAACACAACACACATGATCATATATAACAGAATTAATTTGTAAGCTATATATGTGGTAGTTTTTCTCCCCCTTTGACAACATCAAAAAGAGGGAAAAATGAAAGATAGGAGCAATGCTCCCCCTGCTTATAAGCATAGATAAGAGAAGTAAAGAAATTTATGTCAAAAACTTCCCCTGTCAAATAGACTAGATGACATCAATAGAGTATATATACAGGAGCTAAACTGACAACTATTCAACAAACATGTGTATCAATGATACACGTAACTCAAATTCTGTAAGCAAAACATGACTATTTCTTAATCATGTATTGATAAAAAAAAAGAAACTAGCATAGGTAATTATAAATCATCATCTAAGCAGCATAGATGTGCATAAATATACCAAAGCCTTAAACAATACAAAAACTCATGATAAGCAACTTATTTACCACACATCAAGTCATGAATGTGCATTGAGTCATACAAGAATTAAACTAAACACAATAAGCCACAAAATATCATATAAGCATTAGAATCACTATAGTTTTGCATAAAACATAGATTGGTTCACAAGATAGCAAATCCTACATAAGAAGTCACACAAAACCATACATAACTTGTTCCACAAAGCATCATAGAGTTATTACACTCAAAATAAAACATAGTTATCAAGTTTTACAACCCAGAAGAAAGCATATAAAACATCACATGACGAAGCTCAAATCAGACATCACCTCCACCAACATCATCACTACTATCACATCACCACCTCCACCATCATCACCACCACCATCACCATCTGAGTCATCAGCAGAATCCTCACCAGAATCAGACTCAGAATTAGAAGGGATCCCGAGAGACTGACGCTGGTATGAAAGAATAGTCCTAACGTCCTTCTGAATAGATGTGACACGAGTCTCAAGACGATCAAGACGGTCACAAATCTCAGAAGTGGAAGAAGTGGAAGAGGTCGAGGCTCTAGAACGGGAGTGAGAAGATGGTGTGGAGTCAAGAGATATATGCATTCTGGAAAGGGAAACTTTATCAAAGAAATCTCTTGTGGATTCAACCTTAGGTTCATTTGTAAGGTCAACATTGAAATGTTGAAAAATGAGAGTGAAAAAGGAACCAAATGGTAGAAACTTGGTGTGTTTAGATGCCATGTTATTTATAAAGATGGTAGCCCAATCAACTTTGATTTCAGCAAAGATGGCATAAACAGCATTAATCTTGTCAGAGGCGAAGTGATCAAAACTCCCAGTCTTGGGAATCAAATTATGAGCAATAATTCTAGCAATTAGTTTGGCAATGGGATTAAGGGAATTATTGTTCATAGGATATGAGCATCCAGGTGAAAACATTTGATGATTGACTGAAGGATCACTAAGCTCAATAGACCTAAGTTCAACGTCACTTGTTGGGATTTGAAGAATCCCCGCAAGTTCGTTGGCAGTAAAAGCTATTGCCACATTTTTAACAGAAGAGGAAATGGTCAAGCTGCCATCAGCAGAGGATGATGTGGACATGTTAGCATAAAACAGATAAACTAAGAAAGGATAATAAGGAACTTTAAGACTTTCATCAAACAATTTATCCAACCCAACATTATGAAGAAGAGACTGAGTTTTATAGATGGCCAGTTCAGGATACTTGATATACCTAGTTGGGAGAATTTTTAGTTTACAAAGTTCCCTATATTTTCTAACAAGAGGTTTAAACAACAGATAATCCTCATAATGTGAGGCTTTTACAGAGGAGGAACTAGATTCGGGTTTAGACCTCTTTTTGGAGGGTTTGGGAGGCATGATGAGTTAGGGTTTTGAAAAGATTAGAGAAAATTTGCAATGTCCTGTAACATAAAACAATATAGAGCAAATTAACAAGAAACCCTAGAACAAAAACCCTAGATTAGGAAGAATTTATACTAGAACAATGAAATAAGGTTAAACAGATGAGAAGGAGATCATTACCTAGCAAAGCTGTCGGAGAATGATGAAGGATGAAAATTTCGGTCGATGAAGCCAGGCGACCGTGAAGAATTTTCGTGACTTTGGGAAAAATGACGAAATGGGGAGAAGGAGAAGGATCGGATCAAGGAGATGAAGAGAGTACGGTTGGGATTGATTCATGGAGGGATGAGCGGTGATGATCAGTTCGGGTCTAAAAACAGAAACCCGATAAAAACCGAAACAAAAAAAAATCGAAAACCTCGCTGCTGAGAAATTCAATTTCGGTCGACCGACGCGGTCGACCGGAATGCTTACAGATAACCGTCGGTCGACCGGGTCGGTCGACCGAAAGAAAGTAATAAGTAAAAACCTGATTTTTGAGATATTTTGAGATATTTTTACTATAAACTCTTTTGGAAATATTTTACAAACTACTAAAAGTTTTATAATATGTATATAAGTAATTTTGTCTATTAAAAACATATAAATAATTTATTCTGACACAAGGAATATAATTTGTCATTCAAAGCCAAAAAAAAATTTTCAAAGACAAAACAAAAACAACACATTAAAAAAAATACTATATAAGTCTTTTTGGTACCCAAATCATTTTGGTACCACTAGAACTTGGGACATGACCCCTATCATTTAAATCCAAGGCCCTAGGGTTATGAACCCGTTTGAGCGTATTTTGTGCACCAATACGATCAAAGCAAAAATTGTAAACGTGATTTAATTTCGGTCGACCGACTCGGTCGACCGGAATGCTTCCAGATAACCGTCGGTCGACCGGGTCGGTCGACCGAAAGAGGATAAAATTGCAGATAAACATAAAAGATGGTTTTTGAAATATTTTTCACTATAAACCCTTCTGTAAATATGTTTTACAATCTAAAAAGTTTTTATAAGATATAAAAGTAATTTTATCTATTAGAAAACATGTAGATAATTTATTTTGACATAAGGAATATAATTTGTCATTCAAAGCCAAAAAGAAATTTTTCAAAGACAGAACAAAACAAAAACAAATCATTAAAAAGAATACTATATAAGTCTTTTTGGTACCCAAATCATTTTGGTACCACTAGAACTTGGGACATGACCCCTATCATTTAAATCCAAGGCCCTAGGGTTATGAACCCGTTTGAGCGTATTTTGTGCACCAATACGATCAAAGCAAAAATTGTAAACGTGACCCATACGATTGCAATTTGTGCAATGTAGAGGTTTAAATGGTTTACGTTGACCGAAATAGAATGCACGTGGTTCATTTGCAAAAATAGATTTTCCTTTGTAATTATTTTGCAAACGAGAATTTCTTTTCAAATCGAAACAAAACATGGCCAAATGGCCAACACGACCACAATAATCACATTTGTACACATAAGCATGTTTATGATTTACACTATGTGTGTGTACATGAGTATGTGATGATGAAGCTTGATGGGATGCACAATCATGTGTAGGCTTGTCAATTTTTGGTGCATTATGACAAAATTGAGCTAAATGGCCTTTAAGACCGCAAGTAGAACATTTGTGAATTTTGTCATACATATGTGCATAGTGAATAGGTTTCTTAGAAGAATTGACATTGAACTTTGCACATACGTCCATAAGCTTTTTATTATTAGCAATACAAGTCTTTAGTGTTGAATCTAAGGTAGATATTCTTTTTCTCATTTGATTCAACTCATCATTGTGCATACAAGCATTGCTATTAGAAGTAGGATAAACAAGATTACTCATCATAGATTTCAACTTATCTACTTCTAACATCGCATCACGCTTTTCATGAAGCAAACTAGCATTTTTAATTTTCAAATTTTCATTGCATTCTTTAAGAATTATATTTTCATTTGTAATAAAATTAAACTTAATAGCTAGTGTTTCATGAGTGGATTTTAAATTAACATACTTACTCTTTACATTAATATAGCAATTGTGTAATTTTTCAAATTCAAGAGCAAGTTCATCAAAAGTAAGAATATCATCGCTATCGCATACCTCACTAGGGTTACTACCTAGTGGTGTTGTACATGGGGTGAGGCTTCCTTAGAGCTCAAAACGGGATTTTCCAACGCTTGTTGAATAGCCTCCAATTTTCCTTCATGTGCTTCAATAAGTTTCCATAAAGCATAAGCACTATCAAAATTAGCAAGTTTGTTAGAAAACGATGAGTGAAAAGCGCCAATCAAAAATCCTAGCAAAAGCTTGTTCATGTTAAACAATCTTTTATCATTATCACACCATTTGGATTTTTCCAAGATGGGAATAACATAACCATCCTCAATAATTTCCCACAAATCAAATTGATTAGATTGAACAAAAAGTTTGAATCTAATGCGCCATTGAGCGTAGGGGAAAATATCCAAACGAGGAGCAATATTAATAGCATATCCTAAGCAAGATGAATCATTCATATCCATAGAGATGAAATGCAAGAAGCACAATTAATCAAAATTAGATTAGCACTAATACAATAACTTGGATCTTTAACTCAAGGCGGTTAGTCCTTAAATCAAAGAGCACCAAGCTCTGATACCAATTGTTAGACCCTAGAGGGGGGGTGATTAGGGTCTTATGCTAATCTAATCCCAATTAATAGCAATTAAAATTATGTTGATCAATATGTTCTTACAAGAGATAGATATGAACAATAAGAACAATAAGAATAATAAGAATATGCACAAATAAAATGTGAGACAAGCAAAACACAAACACACGATATGTTTACGAGGTTCGGTCCCCACGACCTACGTCCCCGCTCCTCACCTCGAGGAGATATCCACTATCACAATCCGGTTTGGAAGCCGGAACTTCTACACACTCGGTTTACAAGTTCACCGAAAACTCTCACACTACACAATCACTCAACAATCACACTTTACACACTAAGTGTAGGAATCTAGCCCGTGTCCTCCTCCTCAAGTGCTCGATTACAACCTCTCCCTAGGTTCGTCAATCGACGCCACTCCTATTGGATTTGACCCCGTCTCTCTCTCCTCACACTTCTCTCGGTGTACAAGTGTATTACAAGTGATTCTCACAAATAAAAGTTAAATACAATGATTTGTTCTCAATTAACAAGTGAGAACACAATGAAGCTCACACTCACTAAATCCCACACCACAACCCACAATATAATATGAGAATATAAAGCTCAATAAGTGTGTGTGATAATAGTGAATGAAACTCAATAAATATAACTCAATGAATATAGCTTAATCAATTGAAAGTGAAATAACAAGCTATATAAGAATGGGTTTAGAAAACTTCTCAATGAATAAGAAGAGCTGAGGAAATGATGATCTCAATAAGATTTGAAAGCCTCTTCTTGTTGTAGAAAAACTTCTCTTGAAAACTGATTTGACGTTAATCAAACGTCACAACACCAGCTCCGAAGACAGCAGAATAGTTTGGATCCGAGGTTCCAAAAAGAGTACTCATTCAAGGACGAAGACGTTCCAGCCATCTTCGAGACCCTTCTTAAAAACAACAAGATTAAGCTGCCGCCCATCACAAATCAAGAGGAAGCTGACAATACTGCAGATCCGAAGTACTGCGCGTACCACAGGAGGATCCTTCATCCCACCAAGGCTTGCTTTACTTTAAAGAATAGTATCCAAACCTTGGTTGAAGCCAGCGTCATAACGCTAGGATAAGCCAAATAAGAACGGCAACACTCCGATAAGTATAAGAGTAAAAACTGCTCCTTCTAATACTCCGAAGAGTATACGAGTATAAACTGCTTCTCAATCCTCCAATCGGTATATGAGGTTAAACTGCTCCCTGATACTCCAATAGGTATATGAGTCTAAACTGTTTCCTACCGTTGATGGGAAGTTCCTGGAGAATGTTACGCTAATATTCTTAAGGATAACCCGGACATGTAACGGAGTACAAAGTCAGACCCAGTTCCAAGAAAGAAGCTGGGGGTGGATGATTCATGTAATGGGAAGTTCCCAGAAGAACGCTATATGTAATTTTCTTAGGGATAACCCGATAATTACGAACAAGGTGATAAACACTAAACCCCCACTATGATTTGTACTCCCACTCTCACTGTCTACCTGGTCAAACCTTCCTATAGTTAGGACCACAACCAAAGTCCCCTCTCGATTCCTTCCATGAACGAGAGGTCCACTTTCAAATTGAACGATAAAGCCTATAAAAGGTAAGATCGTCTCAAAACTCCCACTTCCACTGCTTCCTTGGTCAAACCTATAAAAGTTAGGGCCACAACCAGATTCTCCTCTCGATTCCTTTCATGAACGAGAGGTCCACTTTCAATTGAGCAATCAAACCTATAAAAGTTAGGATTGTCTCCAACTTTACTTAGTCAAACCTGCAGATAGTTAGGACTAAGATTGAGTTATCCTTTTCGATAAACGAAAGACTTCCATCTTTTCCTTTTTCCACCAAACCTATAAAAGTTAGGGTCGAAATTGGGCTTTCTCCTCAATAAATGAGGGACTTTCCAGAAATTAGGAAAAGTATTAATAAAATATAATATATTATTTTAAATACTAGAAAATTTTATTTAAATACGTATCAAAATTCACGGTTGTTACACGGATTCTGGGGGTGGAGATCCCACCTCGAGTCTCCTTTCCAGCTGAAAATAGAATATAAAATTCTTCTTCTTCAGTGTCGGGAGATAGAATATAAAATTCTTCCTCTTCCATTTTCCAGTCCGTCTTTACTCTGAGAAAAGACACAATTCCCAACTTCCAATCCGTGCACTTTGTGCACGGGGAATTTTATCTCAACTCCTAAATAGAGATAAGCCTACGCCTAACACGCGTTGCCGGTTTAGTCTTTCACCGATTAAAAAAGACACCAGAGTATAATTCTGGGGACTTTCATCCCGAATCCTAAGTAGGGATGAGTCAACGCCTAATACGCGTTGCCGGTTTAGTCTTTCACCGATTAAAAAAGACACCAGAATTTAGTCTGGGGAATTTTATCCCGAATTCTAAGTAGGGATAAGTCAACGCCTAATACGCTTTGCTGGTTAGTCCTTAACCGTAAAAAGGACAAAAGCCCTCATATTCAACATTGTGGTAGATTATTATTCATAACATCAAAATCCGTGCTTCACACGCACGGGAAATTTTATCCCGAATCCTAAGAAGGGATAAGTCAACGCCTAATACGCGTTGCCGGTTAGTCCTTAACCATAAAAAGGACAAAAGCCCACATATTCAATATTATAGCAGGTTGTTATTAATAACGCCAAAATCCGTGCTTCACAAGCACGGAGAATTTTATCCCGAAGCCTAAGCAGGGATAAGCCAACGCCTAATACGCGTTGCCGGTTTAGTCTTTTACCGATTGAAGAAGAAACCAGAATCCGAGTCTGGGGATTTTTATCCTGAATCCTAAGTAAGGATAAGTCAGCGCCTAACACGCGTTGCCGGGTAGCCTATTCCCGTAATAATGGCGAAGTCTACGTATTCGAAGTCGTAGCATCAAGTCTAAGGGAGTTCATTCCTTTAGCACAACGTCACATTCGGAACGGATTTCAACAATCCGCTTGCTAGCCCGACTCAAACGGTAGTCGGTAAAGGCATATCAAATCCGTTCATGGCTGAGGATTTGCCAAAAATCCTAAGTCAACGTCTGATACACATTGTTGTTTAGTCTTTCCACAGGAGATAGATGAAGTCTACGTATTCAACATCGTAGCGCTAAAAGGGTTAACTCTTCTAGCTTAACGTCACATGCGGAACGGACATAAATAGTCCGCATGCTAGCCCGACTCAAACGGTAGTCGGTAAAGGCTCATCAAACCCATTGATGGCTGAGAATTTGCCAAAAATTCTATAAATACGAGTCATTGACGCATCAGCTCCGTCAGTTGGTCTCGTGACTCGAACATCCAATCACTTAGAGATAAGATCCACACGTGCAGAGGAATCAACTTTCATAGTTGGTCCTGTAACTCCGACATTTAGGACCGCCACGCTCCAATACCTTAAGAGCTTAAACTGTGTATACTCCAGCAAATGCACGAGTATAAACTGTGTTAATGGCGATCTGAAACCCTAGGTCAACGCCAGTCAACGCGTTGCGATCAAAAAGTCAGCGCACGACGTTCAAAACCCTAGGGTCAATGCCGGTTAACGCGTAACCCTAGGTCAACGCCAGTCACCACGTTGTGATCAAAAAGTCAACGTACGACGTCCCAAACCCTAGGGTCAACGCCGGTCAACGCCTAACCCTAGGTCAACGCCAGTCAACACGTTGTAATCAAAGAGTCGATGCGACGGATAGGGTCAGTTCTGAGTCAACTTAACGACACGAGCCAAACTCAACTCATCAGTTTTAGATTCGAGACTTCGACGACGGCCAGATGATAAACGCAGCGCCGGAAGAACTTCAGCTATTCATCAAAAAACATCGAATAGACTAGAAATCGAAGGAGTTAAGAATTGAAGCTAATTACAGGTCCTTTACGCTGACTGAAGGTTGGACCAATCACATCCAAAGTATTCCAGTCTCTTCTTTAAAAGAAACGAGACTGGAACGCTTTGGAGGGGGTATCTGTAGGCGTTGAAAATTGCCTATAGGTCTCCACGAACAGCTCAAAGCTAAGAGAAGACGATGAACGTCACTATCCAAGTCACAGAAGCTTGATTGATGTCGACGAACGCTTGAAGTGAATCGGCGAACTATGTGAAGTAACAGAGTTTCAGAATAACGAGGATACAAATTGATCGGGAGCCCCGCGTCGCTTACAAAAGGCGCAACACCCCTCATGTTCCAGTTGACTCCACAATGATACAATCATTGGAGCTTGTAGAACTCCTCGCCGGATTTCCAACGCACTTTGAATCGTTCAAATCTGAGTTCGGATGAAGAAGTTACGGCGAAAACGAACAAACAGGCATAACGGAACGTCTCAGGCTGAACTGGGACACCCGAGGTGTCTCGGAACTTGTAGAGCTGTTTTGACCATGATTCATTTTAAATTTGAAGAAACTCAAAACATGACAGTTGTATATATTTTTGTCAGCTTTCCAACCTATCTAGAATCAGGTC